AGGTTCTGAATGTGTGACAGGGGCTTCAGCCAACCTTGGTCGGTTGGTGTTCGGGAAAGGTTCTGAATGTGTGACAGGGGCTTCAGCCAACCTTGGTCGGCTGGTGTTCGGGGAAAGGTTCTGAATGTGTGACAGGAGCTCCAGCCAACCTTGGTCGGTTGGTGTTCGTGAGCTTTAGAATGTGTGACAGTGGACATTACTTGCGTAAAAGGCGTGCGAGTCCCTGTCCCTAGCCGAGTCCTCCTCCCGGAGAGAGTGCAGGCCGAAGTCGGTGACCTTCAGCACGAAGCGGCTGTCCACCACGCAGTTAGAGGACTTCAGGGAGCCGTGTGAGTGGATCTCGCTGTCGTGGATGTACGCCATGCCCTGGTGAGCAGAGAAAAGTTCACAGGTTACTTCTAAATATCCGGATGGGTTCCAACGTTTTCGACTTGAATGGTTTTAGCTTCCCACATCTATCAAGCTTGCACCATCTATAGGTCACTAATTATAAGTGAACTGATGAGATCATTGGCAATGTCTGATTGTAGCACAAATTCCAATTTTCTTGTTGAAGATGCAATGAAAATGCCCCCGGTTTTTAACTTTCACTTTGGCCTCCCTATGACATTGGTTACGCTAGTTTCCGTCTCGTATATAGCCGTTGCCATTTGAAAGGGTCGATGCCATATGTACAGTTCATGTGTATTCATATTTGAATCACTACAAAAGCGACACCATGTTGTAAATAGCTGATATATACCCTGAATTGCAGAATGTTATAATACTCTTCCTAAGAAAACACAATAGATTAGCTCGTTAGAATCATATTTTCGTATTAGTTTGTGTATGTACCATTGTTGTTTCTTTTCCATACACTACCAGCTACAGTTGTTGAGCAATAAAGTTGATTGTGTGTGTATATATATATATATGTGCTAATTTTTAATCTTGTTAATATCAACGCCATTCATGTCTGCATGTTATGTCTGCAATGTTGATATGTCAAGAAAGAAAGAAAGATAAAAGATCATCACAGAAAGGCAAGCTCATCAGCATTCTCTGTCAACTCCGTAATGATTCGTGGTGTAGAGGATAGGGGTTTATGATTAGGATATTTGACCTGGCTTCGAATCCAAGCTTGTGCTATATTTTCTTTACTAATTCATGTATTATTACTAATGTTATTATTTTGAACGTTGCTGTCGAACATTTGCCATTGAAATACTAGTATGGCTTTTTTAACAAGTTTTATATTTTTTGCCCCCACTCCCAAAGAAGATACGTTCTTGTGTGTTCATCGACCGTTTCAAATTGCAACTACCGTTTACGAGACGGAAACGACCATATTGTTACGATGAGTGCTCCATGTGATAGCGAATACTCAGAAGATTTAATTAAGATGCAATAAACCGCAGCCACATCCTTGAAGTAAGCCCCTTTGAAACCATTCTCGAGGAAATGAATCAATTTCCAAAAACATGAAAACAACAACTTGAAGTTACTGCGGCTGGCGAAACGTACTGGCAGAAATACGAGGGATTCACAATGAATAATCAGTCTCAACTAGTTTCAAGTATTAAAGGCATCCAGTGCAATTTCAGGGCGGCAAGACTGAATTTGCAGTCCATTTTCAGATCATTATTCTTATTTTTGTAAGTTGAATCAATCCTATACCGTAGCACAATTATATCTGTCAGGCAAAAATGCGATGTCGCTGACGGAATTGTATTATGGGCTGATTGTAGCTAATCTCCAAGCTGATCCTAGGGTGGCAAAAGACAGTATCAAATTGGCCAGACAGTATCCATTAGCCAGATATGGTCCAATACGCCTTCTTAAAGATTAGGTTAATTGTAGCTATTTGAGACTTTTTGAGCTATCTATGGGCGATATATATACGTAGTTAAAAAGCCTCACACAGCTTGTTTTGTGATATTTCAAAAAGCTTCGAGTATTACATGATGAAGAACATGTGTGCTCAGAAGTGGCAGAAAATGTCAAAATTAGACCAATTTCCTCAGCCAGAATTTTTTTGGTAATTGCCACACTGAACGAAATTGCATCGGATGTCTTTAATCATGTACTATATTATGTAACTGTCCAACGCCGCAGTTAGTGATGGCGATTGCTTCAACATACTTAGTAAAACAGTGTATTTCCGACGGCGAAATTGCAGCTATTACGATCCCCAATTCAAACACGATATGTGCCGGTAAGGCCACAGCAAATAATTTTTATGGATGACATCAGCGCGCGCATTAATTTTCGCCTGATTCTGGAAAAAAAACAAGAAATTTTGTTGCCTTCTGACAGTGGTCAACATGCCGAAAATGGGCAAAGAGGTCTGTTGCCATGCCGGAAGGTTGATGGCAGATAACTATGAAGAGAGGAGACAAGACAAGGCTCTGATTTAATGTTGTGTTTCTTATACTTTGATGCAGTGATGTGTGATGTTGCCTGTGTATATGTGATGTTCTCACTGAATCAAAACCATTTGTACAATGATTGAGTCAAAATTTCAGAATGTAGGAACCTTGTTTTTAGAGACCATCTTTTTTTGTACCCGCCCGCATTAGATTTGGAGTCTGCGGAGTATGTCATCCATAAATTTACTTGCAGTGGCCCAACTCAACATCATTACAGAATCCCGTAGCTTACCTTGGTGATGTCGTGCATGAGTGAGTACCGGAACATCCAATCCAGCTTAATCGAATCGTTCTCCAGTATATCCTGAAAAACACATTGACAGACACGCAAGCTGATTAGGCTTTAAATCCTCGGCGCGACTGAAGCATACTTATATTTGACACGTAATGAAAGGATAGATATAATAACTGGGAGCTTCAGAACGCACGATCAGTGAGAATTAATTGATTTCACACTTCGGAACCACTTTTGAGTCGGGTTCCATATGTTTGAAGTAATTAGTTGTTTTATATTTGGCTGAACCAGGAAGTTTATCATAACTATTTTTTCATGAACGTATGTATTTTGATGTGATTCCTTTTGCATTGCGTGATACGTGAGCGAATAGACGAAACAAAAGTAACTTAAAGGAAATTATTTCAATATAATATAATATAATATAATATAATATAATATAATATAATATAATATAATATAATATAATATAATATAATATAATTGAATGTTTATTGCATGTTCTTGCCTGGAGGCTAATTACAAGTACATGTAACAGGAAAACAAAAGGAACTAGAAAAGTAACATTTGCAAAGCAAATGCATAATGTTTACCTTCAGGTATGGTCTGCTCTGTTAATTTTTACTCAAACACATTCGCATACATGTACTACTACTATTATATGGTGACAAGAGCAGAGCAGACCATGAAATTGCAACATTATGTAACCTAACACCAGTCACCATGGTGACAGACGTCAACAAATTATGTCATTGGTCAGGTCAGAGGTCACTGTTTGGAGAGGAAGAAGAAGAAGAAACTTAGCAAAAACAATATGTTTTCCTTCGATAAACATAATGACAATGGATAACATTTGATATAGCATATGGCTACTTAAGTCTACAATTTGACACTAACTACTAACTTGTTGTGTCCGACTTCTTTTTCCGAGACAGTAGAAGACGAATGATCCCCTTTTTTCTATAATTTGCGGGTTTGGTGATGTTAAGAGCACAGTGGTTTTCTTTTTGTCTGTAAACATGGAGAAATTAGGTTGGAACTTGTTGGCCTCTTCAAACAGGTCCTTTCTTCTACGGCTCTAATGTAAATAGGTATTATAGGTTGTTGCGTGTCAAGCAAGATGGAAGACAACCCCCATTTTATTTCAAATGCATAATGATATAGCCCAATAAACTACGTCTCTGCTTATTGCTACTCAAACACATTCATAAGTAATATATTGAGCTGCTCACCAGTTACCATGGTGACAGACTTTTGGCCCAGGCCATTGACCTTATTGGTTAGGAGAAGAGGAAGAAAAAGAAGAGGAAGAAGAAACATAGCAAAAACAGTATGTTTTCTATTCCTCCTTCGGCCGGTAAACATAAGGAATCGATTAACATAATGAGCATAATTAATTACCTGTAAGCTACCCTTGGGGCAGTACTCCGTAAGGATGCAGACGTTCGGTGGGTCGATACAGGCACCGACTAGCCTCGTCACGTGGTCGTGCTGTAGATCTCGCATCTAACTCGGAATATTTTTTTAAAGAAACAAGAATTTTGAGATTCAAGACCTCCGCGAAGTGATATAACGTATGATGATCACAACGAATAATGACAATTTGACAATTTCTGACATCATGTTAAAAGCAAACGTTGTTAAACGTAACGCTACGAGCTTAAGAAAAAGTGATCACAATCACAATCATTTTATCATATTCTACACAATACAAGTTAAAAAAAGGCCTTCCTCAAAGTAGTGTGGTCTAGTCTCATAGAAAACATGTATGCCCACGTGTTTCATTTTCAGTCACACCGAGGGACAAGCAGACATGTTTGTTACTCACGTGTTTCAGTCACACCGAGGGACAAGCAGCCATGTTTGTTTCTCACGTGTTTCAGTCACACCGAGGGACAAGCAGACATGTTTGTTACTCACGTGTTTCATTGTTACTCACGTGTTTCAGTCACACCGAGGGACAAGGAGACATGTTTGTTACTCACGTGTTTCATTGTTACTCACGTGTTTCAGTCACACCGAGGGACAAGCAGACATGTTTGTTTCTCACGTGTTTCAGTCACACCGAGGGACAAGGAGACATGTTTGTTACTCACGTGTTTCAGTCACACCGAGGGACAAGGAGACATGGATGCTCACGTGTTTCAGTCACACCGAGGGACAAGGAGACATGCATGCTCACGTGTTTCAGTCACACCGAGGGACAAGGAGACATGGATGCTCACGTGTTTCAGTCACACCGAGGGACAAGGAGACATGGATGCTCACGTGTTTTAGTTCCAATAGTGTTTTCCGACCGAGGTCAACTCTTTTCCGGGATACGACCTTCACTGCTATGAAGTTTCCCTGGAAGTAATTTGCGAATGGGTATTATTTGAAGATACAGAAAAAACAGTCAGGTACTTCGAAACATACATAGTACCGTTTGCTATTGCACTGTCTTCTGGTTTAAACATTGGCAATTTCAGTCATTGTACTACAATAACTTGCAAGTTTCACTCGCATTTAAAGGCATCCAATGCAACTTCAGGGCGGCAAAATAAAAATTATTCTTGATGAGGAAATTTGTCTAATATTTACTAACATTTACTGCCATTTCGTAGCACATTTTCGTCATCACTTCATACTTGAAGCGTTTGAAATAACCCTAAAACAAGCTGAGGCGTCTCTTTATTTTGGCATCACCAATAAGTACTTAGAACAAGCCTACCATTGAAAACAAGCGGCCACATTTCGTCAGTGACATCGCTTCGCGGACTCGGTCGTTTATTCGGTGGATATAGGTAACGACCATGAATTATGACATCGTATACACGGGCGGGTCATTAACCCTATATTACATTAACAAAGAATGAAGATCCAAATGAAGACCAGAAGATCCAATTTTCCACCCTGAAATTGTATTGGGTGAGAAAAACCAGAAATTGCCACATTTCCAGGCTAGCGATGGTGTATTACCTGTGAGATATCTATTTTATTACACAACATGTGGTATAGTTGAGAAACAACGTGATAGGGAAAACCGTAAAAGATACTACCACACCGTAAAAGATACTGCTAGTCGTCTGCTTTTCGTTGAATGTAATCTCTGTGGGGCTCCCCATACATGGGATTTAGGCCATGTTGATTCGATTATATGGATGACATCTCTGGCCATGCCCCAGAACGAATGCGAGCGCGCGAATAAAAAAAGTTTGGCAAAAACAATTTCTTCATTATGAAATCTACGTGGTCATGAAGGTTAAATAAATTACTAAACACACAGAGTATGGCATGGCGAATTATAGACTCTTAATTTCTTCACATTTTCTTTTGGAATTGATTCTGAAATTCCACGACATTAGCATCGTTTTCAATATTTTTTTTTTGCAATATAATGCATATATTTTCTCATTTTGTAGCTGATTTGTACGATTTACAGTATGGTCGAATTTTTTTGGAAATGGACGAAAACTCATGCCCGCGTGGATGGCATCCATATAATCAAATCAACAAGGCCTTACAGTTACACGAAATAAAACATACAACTTATACAACGGACTGTAAACGTTTCCTCGGGGGGGGTAGTATTTGGCATTTGGTAAAGGACATTCGGCATTTTGTACAAAGATGATTTTAATAATATGTTACATGGGTCTAGGAAGAATCTTACTGATAGTCACTTACCTTATAGTAGCCGACTTTGGTGAAGATCTGATGCTGGCCGTCTGTCGACTTCCTGAGAGAATTAGGCGACCTCAAAATTGATCCCTGGTAAGATTTGAGAACGTTTCAGCATAGCGTGACATTTCAGACGAGACAGACCGCAAATCGCATTTTGCCACGGGTGACTTACGCGCTATCTCAAAAGTACAAACATTCGACACAGAACAGCCATCACAAAACTCCGGATTAGTTCACACAAAATGACACGCATTAGGCATAACCGCATTCCTCTGCAACAAAGAATTTGCCAATTTTGTATTTAGATAGAATTTTAGGACGAGTGTCATTTGGTTGTAAATGGTGCATATAAGAATGAGAGAGATATCCTCTATACTCGTATACAAGATGAGTTTCCCAGCTTTAGACATTAAAAGATAGAACAGAAAATTCGAACTCCTTATGAAACCAGACAGCCCATGTATCATTAGCTCCATATGTTGATTCATCTACAACTGCCTTAAGAAGCGAGAAGTTGAACCTGTAAATAGTAGTTCACATTTTAGTAAGTTACCTCTGTTTTATACATGACCTATACTTAGCTTGTAAGAGCTTAAACGTGCATTAAAGGTATTTTGTTCATAGACAGGCGTCCATAGGTAATAATTGCTTGACCTGTTGACTGAAAATCCTTGCCACATCGATCTTAGCAACATCGATTTCACTTATCTTGAAAGCTCACCTGTGATATTAGAAGTCATGATGGGGCAAGTTAAACTTTGTAATTTTCCACCCAAGGAATTGGACTTACCAAATTTTCGACTGCACAACTCCAGTCTGTCTCCATGTACTGAACAATCCGCCGCTTCTCTATGACGTCGCGTTATGCATATGCCAGACATTACAGCCGACCCTCAACAAAGACGGGGGGCGCCACAGACTTCTGCTACATATGATCCACTGTCCACCGAGTCACGTGTGTCATCTGCATAACGTGACGTCACATAAGCGATGGATTGCTCATTCCTTGACAAAGACTGGAGTTGTACAGTCTAAACTGGAGTTGTAAAGTCCATTTTTTTGTGTTAGAAATTACAGTTTAAACTTGACCTCATAATTCATTTGCACTTGTTGTTTTCCAAAAAATAAGGTTCCCTGGTTTCACATGATAACGATTCTTTTCCCGGCCAAGCGTCAAATTGTAGTTTGCAGGCAAATAATGAGGTACTGAAACTGAACATGAACTGCTTTAAAATCCTAGCACTTTGCTTCACAATGTAGCTGTTACTAAATGCCACAAAGCGTACACGTGAATGTCAACTTTTGCATAATCCATATCGTCTGGCATTTAACGTAGACTTAAGCGTAAGCCCTGCCACTTCAGAATTGTCAAAAAAAACTAGCCGACCAAACCAAGGTTGGCTGACGTTCTTGAGCAGTCTGACCAGATTTAGGCTATAACTGTCTTTCTATACGAATCGAATAGACTTTTGAGTTCAATATTGATGCCAACCACGCCTACTTACCAGACAGAAATAGGTGCTCATCATTGTAGAGTGTACAATCCATTATAAAATGGTGCTCATTTTCAATCATGTTTGGACAAAATGGACAGAACCTTTGATCATTTGGTATTTTCTTGTATCGACCCACTTCTATGTTTAATTCATGTGATTAATGACTTTCTCCTCTGGAACAAACTGTACCCAAGATAGAACAAAAACAATACCTCCATTTTTCTTGGAGGTAAAAGTTGTACTTGTGGGCAGGGAGAAAACCAGAGTGACCCACCCGTGAGCTGCCCAGGCTCAGGCAGCTGTTCCTCCTACTGGTGCTGCTGATGTTGAACACGATATCTTCCCACTTCACTCTCCACAACATGCTGGTTAGTTCCACCTCCAGCTTCCATTTTCTGGAGGTGGTGAAGGAGGGGACGAAAAAGTTACAAACAAGAATTCGGAGATCTCAGACCTCCCAGACATGAACTAGTGATTGTGCCCTCTTCTCATTCACCATGGTGTCTACCAGTCCTTCTTTATCGTGCAACGACAACAACACAGTGAAAAAAACTCCTGTGAAAACAGCGAGCGCTGCAAGATGTAGAGAGAGAGAGAGAGAAGAGAGAGAGAAAAGAGAAAGAAAAGAGAGAGAAGAGAGAGAGAAGAGAGAGAGAAGAGAGAGAAGAGAGAGAAAAGAGAGAGAAAAGAGAGAAAAAAGAGAGAAAAGAGAAAAGAGAAAAGAGAGAAAAGAGAAAATAAAGACAATACCTCCATTTTTCACGGAGGTAACTAATTCACCTGTAGATAGCCCACCTATCTAAGGACAAAGAAAGTAAATGGTGTACCACGGCGAGATAGCAAAAACAATGCCTATATTTGCCATATGTAGAAAATGGTGGTCACAAAGAAAAAAAATGTCTGTCACCATATATCAAACCCAATGCTCTATCCGATACGTCACGACATTCGGTTGCTCGCTGAAACGAAACACATGCATGCGGTAAAATTGCTAATTCTTGGAGCGAAATGTAGAGCTTTAAAGGTACCTGTAAGAAAAGTAGGACAGAATAGCCACCAACACCACGAGGCAGGATAGAGAGATTCCCACCACAGCTATGGTACCGAGACGGCCTGAAGGAACATGGAACAGGTCAGAAGAGCAAGAGCAATGGCGGTGCATCACCAGCGATGGGCAGCAGAATATAGTAGGAATGCAGAATATTTTGCATTTAAAGCTGCAATTATGTAACTTAAGTCAATTTTCTGGTCATTTCTTCACGACGTAAGTTGAACTAAAAATGTAACATTTGCAAAGCAAATGCATAATATTGGCTAGTGTCAACTGGTAGCCGGTGGTAACTACGAACGACGGCATCCAGGCTGCCGAAGCTGCATGGAACTCAAGAACTCAGTATAGTACAGTGTAGACTCGTACATGTCACAGGCCAGCATGTGCCGGCTTGTCGCAAAAACAGTCATGTACCGCTACTACCGCAAGTTCAAAATACCGGCTTTGTATTTGTAGTTTAGCTGCATTTTTGGGGGCTGGAATTTTTTTTATTCGCTCGCATGCACAAGTTTGGGACTCTTCAGAGGATGTCATCCATAAAATTAAATCAGTGTGGCCTTATGATGTATCAGTAGTTGTCATGCTTTGTACCTTGTACAATTGTTGTGCAATCAAGTTTATTATCATCATCATTACAACGCAAATTTATAGTGATAGTAAAAGGGGTAGATCATACCGTCGGGTTGACAGGCCGGACTGTCGTTCAAGAAGCCACAGACCGGCACGCCCAGAGGCACGGCCCCGCCCGGCCAGTGGATGGACACTCCGGGGACGTCTTCGAACTGGTTGCCGCGGTCATGGTGGTAGTTGGCTACGATCTAGGTAATGGATAAGGGAAAGGTAAGGGAAAAGACTAGTAGGGTGCTTTCCTATGTTAATATATATCATTGTACCATGTACAACTGTCGAGCAATCAAGTTCATTCATTCATATATGAGGATTACATCAGAAAAAGTGGTGAAAAATCAGATGAGTTTTAGACCTTGAAAAACAATATTGTAAATTACAACGGATTTCAAGAGACTCGAAGGTACAAACAAATTTCAATATATCTTTAAAATGCAATAACTTCCACAATGTAAATGTATGTAAATATGTAAAAGACCGCTAAATATATAAAAGAGCATGTTACGTTTTATACTATACAACTTTGCACTATGTTCAATAGCGGTTGCCATACATTGTACCATATACACGATGAATTTCACTTTGCCAAAGAATGCTCCAGATACGATGTTTTAGATCGCAACTTTAAGACATTCACATTTCTAAAATCAAGTTCAACAGAATTCAAGAGACTAGACGCTACAGACAAATTTGAATGTATCTTCAGATGCAACAATCCGTACAGTGCAAAAATGATTGAATATATCAAAGACTGTTTTGTTATGAGAAAGAATACGCTATATCAATTGCTTCTGCTATACCTTCTTGTTTTTGTAATGGGGATCGATGTTAGGTTTTATTCTATACCTCTATTTGTACTCCCACACTCGCTTCCATAACTATAAAGGATGGTACCCAGGCTAATTTGTACACAGGATTTTTGTTCTATGTTCAATAGCCATACATTGTATCTTGTACAATTGTCGTGCAATAAAGTTCTTCATCCTCTTCTATGTAAACTTACCTGAAAACTGCCTGTTGCAGGGTCCACCATGTCTAACAGGGAGAAGTCATTTTCCCGGTCACCTTTCTCGTCCATAGTCACATTCCCGGATATCCCTGCAATCATAGTGATAGTATTATTGTCTTGTACAGTTATCAGCATTTCAATAATCAAATTCTTGAGTTTCCTCGCCTGGCATAGAAGAGCGCATATTTCCTCGATATTTTGACACTCCACTATTAAATCGGTAAACAGCGTCAAAATGCCATCCTCGTTGAATCCCACATTTTTGGTGCCTTACGTACGTAAAGCATTCATGTGCTGTAAACAGAAATGGAGTCCTAAATAGTCCAAAGAAGTTTGAATTTAAAAATTTTAGCCAGAATAGAATGCAACGCTAGAAATGCCCTTTCTGAAAGTGCCAGGCTCCGTCTTGTACTCAGGGGATCGTTTGCGATACCCTCTGAGTACAATAAAAAAGTTATGTTATTCAGCCCCACTTCGTCCTTGTATTTGTATTTGTATTGCTTTATTAAAAAACGCTAGAAATACTTTCTTCATTGTTCTGCCATACACAGAATGTCATAATTTTGTTCTGAAGGTCGGTAATAAATCTCTTTCTGCAAATACACAAGCATACATACACATATTGTTTCATAATGTAGTACATATACATGTACTACATCATGAAGCAAGATGTATCGTTTGTGCGTCACCGCAGGGCGAAGCTGCAGCCATGGAGGCCAACACCAATAGGTCAGCAAAAGTGTAGGTTATTTCTAAAAATAAAGTTGAAATAGAAAATTTTTGAAATTAATAGAAATTAATAGAAAATTAATTTGTAAAATTAATAAAAATTAATACAAATAATAAAAATTAATAGAAATCAATGAAAGAAAAATGAATATTGATTTATAAAATTAATAAAAATTAATAAAAGTAATAAAAATTAATAAAAGTAATAAAAAATTAATAAAATCAATAGAAATCAATAAAAATTAATAGAAATCAATAGAAATCAATAGAAATCAATAAAAATTAATAAAAATTAATAAAATTAATAAAATTAATAAAAATTAATCAAAATTAATAAAAATTAATAAAAATCAATCAAAAATTAATAAAAATTAATAAAAATTAATCAAAATTAATCAAAATTTAAAAAATAAATGAAAGAGTAATTAATATTAATGAAAATTCATAAAAATTAATAAAACAGTTTCTTCTGCAAAACTTGAAGTGTCTAATGATTGAATAAAAAGAGTTTTATTGCCTTCAAATGATCGGTTCCGCATCCTTTGTGTGATCGCGGTGCCGTCCCGTGGGTCCTCGCCGTTTGCCAGAGTCTCGTTCAGGGCGAGAGAGTACAGGAGCACGGCGTCATGAAAGGCACCCACGAAAGCGTTTACCTGCAGTAGCATCAAAGGTATGGTCGGAAGATTTAAAGCTCAAAGGTGCCAGATTATACAGTGCAATTTCCGGAATACAGTGCAATTTTACGGAATACAGTACAATCTTATTAGTATACAGTACAATTGTATGGAATACAGTGCAATCGTATTAGTATACAGTACAATTTTATGGAATACAGTGCAATCCTATTAGTAAACAGTGCAATTTTAAGGAATACAGTACAATCGCATTAGTATACAGTGCAATTCTACTAGTACAATTGCACTGTATACAATAAAAATTGCACTGTATACTGATGCGATTGTACCGTATTCCGTAAAATTGCACTGTATACTAGTAAAATTGCACGATATTTCGTAAAATCGCACTGTATTCCGTAAATGTTAAACAGTTGAAGTAAACTACAATCACACAGAGATTTTCCACTCAAAATATTTCAATTCTTTTGCAAAAAGAATTGAATGAAAATAAAAGATGAAAATTCATATTCGTTAATAAGAAGCCTCTGCCGAAATGGCTTACCAACTTTGGCCCGTACGTGTAGTTGTGGTTCTGTTTAGCCATCATCTTTACCCTTTCAGAAAAGTCGATGTAACTGGTACTGTTTGGCGTCTGCATGGTGATGATCATCAGGGCCTGAGGGAAACACGGCAAGGAATTTTTTTTATTAGGCCACAGCAAGTAATTTTTATGGATGACATCAGCGCGTGCCTTAATTTTCGCCTGATTTTGGGAAAAAACAAGAAATTTTGTTGCTTTCTGACAGTGGTCAACATGCCGAAAATGGGCAAAGATGTCTGTTGCGAAGGTGGATGGCAGATAACTATCAACAGAGGAGACAAGAAAAGGGTCTGATTTAATGTTTTGTTTCTTACTTTGACGCAGTGACATGTGATGCTGGCTGTGTATGTGTGATGTTCCCACTGAATAAAAACCATTTGTGCAATGATTAAGTTAACATTTTTAGATGAAGGAACCTTGTTTTTTTTGGCCCGCCTTGTTTTTTTCGCCTGCTCGCATTAGATTCGGAGTCTGTGGAGGATGTTATCTATAAAATTTACTTGCTGTAGCCTTAAAGCACATAAAAGAAAATACAAGACTGCGATGACGATGAACTGAAGGTGATACACTTAATATATAAGCGCTGTCATCGAACAGAAAATAACTAGCAAAGATATTATAATACTACATGAAAGTTACACACAAATAAACACAAGCAAACAAATCAGACAATAATGGGGACAGATGTTTTTTGTTTGTTTGTTTGTTTGTTTGTTTGCACAACAAAAAAAGTACAAGAAAGTGCAAAAAACAATACATAAAACAGATACTAAAAAATAAAGTAATACACCAATATCGGTATGCTATGGGGTAGGGTTTATTCAGCTTACTACATTGTGAAAAGAATGGCCAGAAAATTGAGGCATTGGGTGCCTTTGATATTATGTTGAGGACAGATTTCCAAACCAGGGCCCGGTCGGGCCGTCTTATGGAACGAAAAGAGAAAGACGACAAAGCACAAAAAAGTTGAAAAATTCAATAATGGGACCTATACGTATATCATTGTTATAGATTGTTGATTTTTCGTTAATCGCAACAGCCCGGCCGGGCCCCGGTTTGGAAATGTGACCTCGGCATTACCTGGTATGCCTGTTTAGCGTCCCGGTCTCTGCCATCCCCACGTGACCAGCTGCCGTACCCGATCTCGTCGCTAGGGAACAAGTCGATGTCGAAGAAGGCGTATTCCCCGGATGTGAGTCCCATGTCGTGCGCCTGGAGAAGTATGGTGCGAACGGCGTCGGCAGACACGCACAGAACTACGACTGTAGGGACGGCAATGTCGTACTTTCATCACCTGTCACACATTGCCGAATTTGGCCTCCCGAACACTAGCCACAACACCTCCCCCATCCCACCCCCAACCATGGTTAGGAGTAGGTCTGGAGCAAGGTCGAATGGTGTTCAGCCAGGTCTACTTCTGTTCAGTTGAGTTAGCTGAAAGTTTCAAAATGTGTAAAAAAAAATTGGGGGAACACGGGAGGTTCGGACATGGTTGAGGGCTGGTTGGCTGGTGGTTGGGAGTAGATCAGCAGCAGACGTGCCAGAGGCGTGGTTGGCAGTCAAATTTGATTCAAATCTGATCGAAA